TGTGAAGAGGAGATGAAAACGTGTGGGCAGACATGGAGCCAGGTGAAGACTCTAGTAGAGAACCGAACGCAATGGAGATGCGCGGCTGAAGCCCTATGTTCCTCTAGGAATTAAAGGAAACAATAATAATAATGATTATGAGCAATAAATTATGCTCGACACGTTGTGTTATCCAGATATCAGCAGTATCGTATCACACTGTGTATGTTCTATTGTACCAATCTCATATAATTATCAATTACTATCCTGCCTTTCAATCACTACTGACTGGTATTGTGAATATCCTTCTTTTTCCGATCAATATTTATTGATTTTTTAGGCAACCACTTACTTAATTACCTAAGTACTTACTTAACTAATTGTATGTGTAAGTATTAATCAGTGATTTCTTTTCTCACTTATTATTATTATTATTCTCTAATTGTTTCTTTTTAAAAAAAATTCTGAACTGAACTGGTTTAGGTATAAAATAAAACTACTTTCAATTTCCACTTTTATTATTATTATTTCCCGTGGATATATTCACGTATACTGGTTATTGTTGTTGTTCTTGGTATTATTGATTAACGAGCGCTATACTTATAGTTATATTATATACCATCTGATTCGGGTCATGTGACTATTTTCTCTACCAAAAACAAAAAAAAAGAAATTCAATACACCTGTTTGTATGTGTGTATCTTTCACGTGTGTGCGTACGTTTGTGTGTAGTACGTGCGTGTGTGTGTGTGTTTGTGTCAACTTTTATTGTTAGACGAATAAAAACGTAGATATAATATAATATAATGTATACGGTAGTATTTTTAATAATAATGATTATTATTATTATTACTATTATTGTCATTTGCATTTATTGATTTTATGTGTTATACCCTTGATAATCAGTCAGTCAGGCAGTCAGCCCCTCAGCTAGTCAGTCGATCAGTTGGTCATCTTTTTTTGTATAGTTCGTTCGTCGTATTGTTCGAATTATCTAATTATCTGATGAAGTCTAGTAATTTGATCATAGGTGTCTGCGTTCTATCTCCCGCGTGAAGTGGTATAATAAGGTGAGCAATATTGAGGTTAAGCGCCGAGTGCTAGGTAAGGCGGGGAAATCAATCGATGAGACTGTGAAATTACATCGACTGAGATGGTTAGGACATGTGTTACGTATGCCTAGCCTAGTCATCGCCTTCCTCGACTGATGGGCAATGTTAGCTGATATAGGGTCAGGCTGGAAAAGAGCTAGCGGCGGTCAAACCAAAACATGGCTTCACCAGTCAATGAAATCTACAACAGTTAGTCTAAGCCACGTAGGAAGGTGTAGACTTCCTGGTTGGGGTCCTCGGGACGGTAAAAGCCAATGGTTGGAAACAATTCGTGACATGGCTCAAAATCGTTCTCAATGGCTGGCGAAGATGCACCCACTCCTTGTGACTTATGATTTCCAATGAAACTGTCTTGTTCTTCGTTATTACTATTCCTTTGTCTCACACCTCTGTTTACTGTCTATATTATGCATTTCTCCTACTTTCTTCTGTTGCTTTGTGTGCTACATGGAGGGAGTGTGGCGACTTGAACTGTTGCACATCTGTGCAAAGTTCTATGTCGAAAACAGACAGACAGACAATTTGATTAGTTAATCATTACAGTGGACCCTTTTTTATTCCTTCACGTTCCCCAGTGGAACATAGGGTGGCTTCAAGTTAGTGGCTTGAAGTTTCTGTAGCAGTGGTGTTTATCTTTACAGGATGAGGTTGCTAGCCTCATGCCCCCCAACCTTTCCTCTTCACCAGCATTATTTCTGGCCTAGTGAGCGAGTTAAAGGAGTGCGTCCGTTGGCCGGGGATCGAACCCCGGACCATGTGCATGGTTGGCGAGCGTCCTAACCGCTATGGGTGACTCTAAACTTTAGGAACCCAAAACAACCTTGAGAACGGATGACCTTGAGCAGGCAATCATATGACTCGCAATGGATGCTGTACATCGTTTGTGGTGCAAATTCGCTCGAGTTTGTTTTTGATTACTGTTTAGAGAACGGGCTGATAGGGAGATAGAAAACTTGCCAGTGCGGAGGTGTTATGCATATACAAAGATACACGAGATGCATCGACGGTTCTGTTTACCGTTGCAGGGAGTGCAGATGCAGAAAATCGCGCCGTTCATTTTAAGCCTTCTGATTGGTTAAAGTTGTCCTTGTCAAGGTCATTTGTCCGTTCGTAAGGTTATTTCCGTTTGGGTTCCTAAAGTTTAGAGTCACCCCGCTATGTCACCGGCGCACAGTGGACATTGGAAATGACTAAAAAATATGCTCCCCCCACCGCCCTATCCCCATCATAATATATGTATTGATTTTAATAATTCTGAAAAACAAATAGTTGAAAAAGTTAGAATTTAGGGGATTATTGACTGGTCAACGAGCCGCCCCAAGGGTCTCATAACCGGTTTTGACGGTGGCATCGTGGGAGTTTGCACTGACGAAGAGTCCCTGGATGAGAATGAATCAGCTGTCCAGAGCTGATCTCTGATCTTTATTAGTTCTTTAACTGATATCAATCCGTGATCAAACTAGAAAAAGAAAACATAATAAATGAGATGGTATGTGTGCTGAATAACCGATCTATATTATTGCGTCATCACTGTCGTTGTATTGAAAATATGCAGTGTTATTTCAAGCTGGTGAAACATCTCCACAACAGTAAAGTAAGGTGAAAAAAACACACACGCACGCATACATACACATATTCAATGACCTAGATTAATCAATAGGCCGATAGAGTAATTAGCCTTTTGAGTAGTTTTCTATAGTTGGTTTTTTGTAAGGGTTAGTTTAGTTTCTGCGAGTTGATCACGGATTGATATCAGTTAGAGAACCAGCTGTTTCATCCCACTGGTTTGGGAATCATCGTCAGTACGCACCCACTGCACCTGGGTTCGAACCCAGGACCTTCCAGTTACAAGGCCACCTTGTATACTATTCAGCCAGTGGGACCCAACTCCTCAATGGCTAGCCCATGAATTCCAACTTCTACCAATTCGTGATTTAGCGCAACTTGCACCAACCGATGTCGTCGGTGGGACATCCATCCTCACGCGTGACTGGATGGACCTCATTGGTCACGATTTCTGACTAGAACTCCAGGAAATTCCATCCAACCATAGAAAATTAATCTGATGCTCGCTAGTGACTTACTGCAGGACAGACGGAGTTTCCTGGAGTTCTAGTGAGAATTCGTGACCAGTGACGTCCATCCAGAGGTCACGTGTGAGGATGGATGTCCCAGCGACGATATTGGTTGGTGCAAGTCGCGCTAAATCACGAATTGGTAGAAATTAGAATTCATGGGCTGACCAGTAATGAATCGGGTCCCAGTGGCTGAATGGTACACGAACTTGTCTTGTAACTAGAAGGTCCTGGGTTCGAACCCCGGTGCAGTGGGTGTTTACTACCGATGACTCCTCAACTAGACTGATGAATTATTTAATATCACCGAAAATACCCATTGAGTCATGAAGAAAATAAAAGACAGATTCAGCGAAGAAAATTTTCTTTCTCTTTATCGACGAAATCATCTTCAGAGGCTGTACAGTCGTATTTATACTTATAAAAATATATAGTGGTCTATTATTAAGTAATAGGAGGTGACATAATTGATATGATTACTCAGAAGTGGATTTAGAAGTGAAAATTAAAAGTTGTAAATTACGTGGTACTCAACGGTACAAAGATAGAAATTTGATAAGGTTAAAATTGCTATTGAGTCAGAATAAAGGTGGTAGTTGAGTGTCAATTTAACAAGTGTGAAGAGGGTGTGAAAATGTACAAAATGAACATATGAGAGTGATAATAGTGAATTAATTATTAAGGTAAAAGCAAACTGAAAGTAAAATTAAAAAAGAAAAGAAAAAATCAAAATTGTTTACAGGGAACGACTAGTGAAGAGGTTACGACCATGGTAGAATAAGAGACTGGACAAACTTTTTCTGTATACAGAGTTTGGAGTTCTACTGACGAATTGCCAACGCCTCCGCCATACACAAAAGCCGAAACCTGACGCCCTTTGTACCATTTGGCTTCACTTTGTAGATGATCTTGAAAGACGACTCCGGTGGAGCTACGTGGCCTGAGTTCACCAAATGCTCGAGAATTGAGCTAGTAATTGTCTTACACTGTCCCTTTGCTAACCATGCCGGATAATGTTCAGAGATGCGTTTGGAAAGCGTGCGCTTTGTGCGGCCAATATAACTAGCTCCACACGAGCAGGTGAATTTATAAACACACATTGAAGTGGCCCATCCAAAGTGGCAGTTTATCCTTCACACATCCATTGGTCATTTGTCGGCTGTAGAAATTGATACGTAGCTCAGCCATAAAGAAGGCTTTCCTCAGTGATCTGCATAAGCGATTCTTCAGGATCTCAGCTGTGGTATCACCTTTAAATTCAACACTCATAAATAGCAGTTTCTTTGGCACCGTCTGAATTCTTTCAGGCTTTTCCCTTAACTTCATGTTTTTCTCGATAAATGTTGGAGGATATCCATTCTCTATGAGGACTTGTCTGAGTCGCTCCAGTTCCCCATCGATAGTATCACTTGAACATATCCTCCTTATTCTTGAGGTTAAGGAATGGATCAGATTTCTCTTTTTTCTCAAAGGGACCCAACTATGGAAATTTGTGTACTGACCATTCCATGTTGGTTTCCTGTAGATCGATCTTTGAAGGGAATTATCAGATCTCTTCTTTAGAAAAACATCCAAAAAATGGAATCTCTGATTCTGACATGCACTTGATGGCATCATGGCAGCTGTTGTCAACTCTTTAGTTATCAATTCAATGTCGGTATTGTCATCACATATGATGGAAGTATCATCCATGTATCTTTGGTACAGATGGAAACTGTCGATAGTAGGCCGTAAAATACGACTGTACAGTACAGCCTCTGAAGATGATTTCGTCGATAAAGAAAATTTTCTTCGCTGAATCTGTCAATTATTTAATACAGTTTTTGTTCAGCGAAGAAATTTCTTTTCAACTTCATTTTCAAGCTGTACAGTCGTATTTATATTACAGAAAAGGTCATTAAGTGGCACTAAACAATTGCTCAGTCAATATGCATATATATGTGATAAGAATAACGATAATTAAAATGTTATAAGGGGTAGAGTTGAAGTGGATAAATTAAAATTATTAAAGATAGTTTTATAAGTGAATTGAAATCAAAAATGTTTTAAAAATGTCAAGTGTTGTCTAAAAATTTTAAAAAATCAGGAGTACGATTACGATAAGAATGAAGATGTGAAGTGAAGTGGAAAGAATTCAAGTGGTAAAATAAAATAAAGTAAAAACTAGAAAGAACATTACTATGACCAAGGTAAAGAAAGGGGTTTGACAAAACGTTTTTGAACACATAATTTAGGTTTCTGTTCATGTATAGCTAAAGCTTCGGCTATGCAAAAGTGAAGAAAACGTAAACTTTTTGATCGATTCGATTTTGCCATGTAGATAACTTTGAAAGATGAATCACGTGGGGCTAGATGACCTGACTCTAACAGGTAATCACAGATAGACGACTTCGCAGTTCTACGTTCGCCTTTCATCAACCAGACTGGATAGTGTTCAGCTACACGTTTTCGGAGATTACGCTTACAACGTCCAATATAAACAGCTCCACAAGAGCAGGTAAAAGAGTAAATACACATGGATGTGGACAAATATTTAATAGTTTCTCTTCATGTCTGATTGTACTTCGAAAAGACAACAAAAAGGAGAGTATATGACTAAATATTTATTATTTATTATTATTATTCATTGCGTGATGCATTTGATTCATTCACTCATTCTGATTCTGATGTTGAGTCATTTTCATTCACAAATTTCTCTGTATGATGAGTAATTTTACCCACAACTGTATGTCATGTCTTCTGAAGTGATCATTTATATTTTACTAATAATTAATTATTATCGTATGGGTTATTTTTAATCTCCCATATATTGTGTGCATATATATAGCGAGAGAGAGAGAGAGCTGATCAATATATATATATTTCACTGCCTAGATAGCTTGTGTACGTGTGTGTGTATAATGTCTGCATATTTATATGTATGTATGTATGTATGTATGTGTGCATTTCTGTATGCGCCTAATTGATGAGATGAACTGACTGTCTTAATTAAATGTGTGATCACACCATTATCAATTTAGCCTGCAAAAGTTAATATATTTATTTTTTTGTTAATGTGACGATGATGTGTATTTTTAATAATTAATATCAGTAAAACACAATATATCTCATACATAAATACAACAACATTAAGTTTATAAGGCTAACTAACTAACTGACTAGAAGTTAATTGGTGACTAGCAGTGGGAAATCCACTGGGATGCGCATTTCGTCCTATTTGGGACTCGTCATCTGACTGTTGTTAGTTTATAAGGGATTTGATATTCAATTCAAGTTTGACCACAGATTGATATCAGTTAGAGAGCTATTGAAAAAGCCAACAGAACAGGGAGTACTGAACAGTTGTTTCATCAGCCTAATTTGGGACTCACCGGCTGGGTTTGAACACCGCCCCCCGAGGATCTTCCGGTTACAAGGCACACACTGCTGCTCATAGACTATCCAGCCACTGGGATCTGACTCCTCAATGGCCAGCTCATAAATTCTAACTTTGACCAATTCGTGAGTTTAGCGTGACCTGCACAAGCCGATGTCTTTTGTGGCGAATATTTGTCCTCACGAGCTTGTCTCGTGACCAGAAGATCCTGAGTTCGTACTGCCAATAAGTTTCAAACTAGGCTGATGAAACAGCTGTCTGGCAGTACTCCAGTGCTGGTTTTCAATGGTTCTCTAAGCGATATCAACCAACCATTGAAAATTAATCTTATGCTCTCTAGTGGATTTCTACAGGACAGAGTTCCCTGAAGTTCTAATGAGAAGTCGTGATCAGTCAAGGGTGAAGATGGAGTTCCCACCGATAACATTGGTTGGTGGTCACGCTGAAAATCACGAATTGGTAAAAGTTAGAATTCATGGGCTAACCATTGAGGAGTCGGGTCCCAGTGGCTGAATGGTAAACGAGCTAGCTTACCTTGTAACTGGAAGGTCCTGGGCTCGACCCCCCTGCGGTGGGTGCGTACTGCTGATGGTTCCCAAACTGGGACGAAACAGCCGTACACTACTCCCAGGTTTTCCAATGGTTCTCTAACTGACGTCAGCTCATGATGAAATCCCGTAACCAATCAAATCCCTACAAACCAACACTTGAAAAAAAATTATGTCGACTGCCATAGACTTCCACTTCGATTTTAGAGTTAATGGCTTGCTTTGCTGATTAGACCATCACTAGGATATCCTCATATGTGCCTCGGGATAAGTGAAACAGACAACTTCTTTAAGTTTCTACCAATGATGCTGATATAAGATATAAATCCTTCAAGCAATCTAAATCCAATCATATGCCATCCAATGCAGGCGGAATAGGAATGATAATTGATAATCTGCTCAACAAATTCACAGTCAGTCAAAAAAGATATTCAATAAAGCTTCACTGTTGTGTAAGTATATCTCACGAATAAAATATGGGGGTTCGAGCTTAAGCTTTGATGTTTCAGTAACTGTGATGTTGTTTTTCTTTATCGAGTTGCGGCGTTGCTAGCCTCACGCACAAGTTTTCATCTTTCCTAGCCATGGTATTGGCCAGTAAACTAAGCGAGATTTAGTAGTTTGTGTCTCGAGAGTCAAACCTCGAACCACTTGCGTGCGTCGTCGTTGTTGGCAAGCATTCTAACATTAAACAACCGATGTCGGAGGCACACACACACACGTACACTTCAATTTCGACTCAATTCTGATGATATTAGGTAGTTGGAGGCAATCGGCGGGAAGCCTTGGACCTAGGTTTCATGCTAGTTGGCACTCGTCAGCAAGGCGCATCTGCAACCTTGAAGGAACTCATGTCTCTTCTGAGATTCGAGCCCGCGTCACCCAGTGAGCACTGCAGTCAGAGAGGTTACCACTGAGCTATTCAGGCTCGCGATTGACCTCTTGTAGGACCGTGGTGGGTATTTTCATTGGACACTAGTAACTAGTGTGACGTGTCTGGTCTTTTCTTTGATGCAGACTGAATTCCATCAGTCAGTCAGGTTTGAAATGTGGCCACCATGCAACTAGGTAGCTCGCCATCATGGTGCACATTGATTTGATGATATTAGATAGTTGGAGGCAATTGGCAGGTCAATCGCAGTAATGGGTGACCCGGGTTCGAATCTCAGAAGGGACATGAGTTCCTTCAAGTTTGCAGATACGCCTTGTTGACGAGTGACAACTAGCACGAAGCCTAGGTGGTGTCCAAGGCTTCCTGTGGCCGATTGCCTTCACCTTTCTAATATCATCAAATCAATGTGCACCGTGATGGCGAGCTACCTAGTAGTGGCATGATGGCCACATTGCATACCTGACTGATAGAATTCAGTCTGCACCAAACAAAGGGCTAGACACATTGCACTAGTTACTAGTGTCCAGTGAAAATATCGACGCAATTCTGTCGGTTGGTTTGTAGTATCTCCTACATTGTCTTAAAGCTGCCAAAAAGTGACAGGCATAGTAGTCTCTATGCCAACAATACTCAGGACAGTGACTTAATAGCCAGTGAGCTCGCCTTGTAACCAGAAGCTCCTGGTTGGTCGGTCGGTCGGTTTTCGACATAGAACTTTGCACATATGTGCGGCAGTTCAATTCGCCACACTCCCTCCTTGTAGCACACAAAGCAAGAGAAGGAAGTAGGGGAAATGCATAACAATCACAGTAACCAGAGGTGTGAGACAAAGGAATAGTAATAACGAAGAAAAAAACAGTTTCATTGGAAATCATAAGTCACAAGGAGTGGATGCATCTTCGCCACTGAGAACGATTTTGAGCCATGTCTCCAATTGTTTCCAACCATTGGTTTTTACCGTCCCGAGGACCCCAACCAGGAAGTCTACACCTTCTTACGTGGCTTGAATTAACTGTTGTAGATTTCATTGACAGAAGCTCCTGGGTTCGAACCCTGCCTGTGGTGGGGTGCACACTTCTGAAAACTCCTAAACGAGATTAACCAAACAGCTGTCCAGTACCCCAAGGTTTTCCAATGTCTTTCTAACCTGTAATACTCAGAAGATTAGTTGCAAGCCTCGTAGGTTTACAAATACCTCAGAAAGGTATCAAACCTAGAACGTTGTCATTGTTTCATTGTAAATTTCTTTGTTTATTATTCATTGGATATCCATCCCACTGTATTTTATTAGAAAACAGCAAAATGCGCGCAAGGTATGCAATAATTATATAAAATAACATCAAATTCCATTGATTCTGTGTTGATCTCATGATCCTTTTCACTCTCTCCCTCTCCCTCTCTTTCTCTCTCTCTCTCTCCATCCATCCATCTTTATCTCTCGTTTGTGTATTGAACGTTTATGTAATTCTACTGGTCGTATATACACATGCTTTCATATATATATATATATATATATATATATATATATATATATATATATATAACCATATATTCACTCGTGTTCATTTGTGTGTATAATGAACGTGACCCACTAATAAATTCACAATGGGTTTGATACTCACGTGTTGTTATACTTGAAAGCCGAAAAATTACTACATTGTATTAATATTATTATTGATTAGAGAGTGTTAATCTTTGGTCAGGTTATTATTATTAGTAGTATTAGTATTAGTATTAGAAGCGCTTCTTGTTATACAGTTACAGTGTCTTCACTTCTAATAATAAGGTAAAGAAACTGTTATATATTTAGTAACACACTGTGTATTTTGCTTTGTTGTGTTTCCCGGCACACACACACACACATATGTAGATACTAATTTGAGCAGAGAAAGAACAGGCATTAGTGCAGAATAACACGGATCTATTTCCATACTTCATTGGTTTATCTCATCAGCTGCATACAAGCTATAATCTTTATAGGGAATAATATAGGTCAGTGAAAAATCTGTTGACATACTTTTGTCTATCAACAGGCAGGCATAGTGAGATAAAAGAAACCAGAATAATAAGTTAGATTATTATTGTGTTATTGTTTCCTACAGACCTTCATTAACAGTTGTCTTCGCTCAATACTACTCAAGATCAGATGGCCAGATAAGATCAGCAATAGGGATCTTCGGGAGCGAACCAATCAGGAACCGATTGTGAAACAAATAGGCAGGAAGAAATGGAGGTAGGTAGATTGGAGGCCATACTCTGAGGAAACCATCAAGTGACATCACTAGACAAGCCATCGCTCGAGTGGAACTCGAAAGGGAAGTGGCGAATCGGTCGTTCAAGGATGACTTTGAGGAGGTGATGTGAAGAGGAGATGAAAACGTGTGGACAGACTTGGAGCCAGGTGAAGACTCTAGCAGAGAACGGAACGCAATGGAGACGCACGGCTGAAGCCCTATGTTCCTGTAGGAAGTAAAGGATACAATAATAATTGTTTGCTTTAGTTCCTAAAGGAACATAGGGATTCAGATACACGTCTCCATTGTGTTCGGTTCTCTGCTAACGTTTTCATCACCTGGCTCCATGTCTTCCCACATGCTTCCATCTCCTCTTCATATTGTAACAACAGAAGACAAGGGCCAGGCAACAGATCGTTTAATAAGGAAATCAAAGCATATTTATACATTTTCATATACATTATTATAGATTAGTAAAGCAAACAAACACGGTCTTCTGATTGGTTGTTTCTCACTTAAAGTTAATCTTTCATCTATTTGTGATTGTTTCTTGAATGTCAAATCCTCTATATGTTAACTGTAT